AAAACAATAACCAAGGCGTACACCATATTCACAGACTTCCATCACAGAGAGACTCGCTTCTCATCCCCATACCTTGTACACTTCTCAGTGGGAAAAACATTTCACTACCTACATTGCTCAAAAGTAAGCACTCAAAGGAAATCTTTGAAATTCAATTGAAATGGGTAACCTAAAACAAAACAGATCAGATATATCTTTTAACATTACCAATACATTCTCGAATTGGTTGCTACTACACAGAAACAGGCAAACAGCAGCAGGAAAACAGGAAATCATCACATTTCTAGACAGTAATTCCCTTCTAACAACTTCACAGTATGAACAATGAAGAATGATACTTCAAAACATTTCAGTGGTCCCTTTGAGTCAGACTTCCCTGTCTGAAAAGAAAACAAAGGTCTTGATATTTCTCATTAAAGAAGTATCAAGGTGTTGTAGGCTGTTGAAAATGCTACATTTAATTTAATTTAGAGGTCAAGCTGCTTTGAACCCATTAATCATGGCTAACCCGGACCATGCAAGATAAATGCTAGTAGAAATATAAAATACCACTACTAGTACTACACAATGGAGACAACATGATTTCCTTGTATTTCAAGGAGACTTATCATTACACCAGAAATGTCGGGTCTAGCAATAGTAACACAGGTGCAATACAAAGTGCAGCCATATTTCTGCAGTCATCAATTTGTTTCTCAATTCAAATTTCAGACAACGTATTAAAGAATTTAAGCCTGTTGGCTTCACAAAAGAGCTAGAGCTGATTTACAATGCAGTCACCAGCAGCAAATCTACATCAAACCCAAATGTTCATGCATAGACATCATACACACAGGAGAGGTGATATCAGAGACTTTTTAGGGGAGCAGTTACATCAAAAGAGCTTGAGTGCATATCTGTGCATGCGTAGCTAGATGTGAGTGATGTATGTCTGTGTATATGTGTCTATGAGAGAGAGAGAGAGAGAGAGAGAGAGAGAGATAGAGAGAGAGAGTGAGAGTGAGAGAGAGAGAGAGAGAGTGTGTGTGTGTGTGTGTGTGTATGTATGTGTGTGAGAGAGAGAGAGAGAGAGAAAGAGAGAGAGAAAGAGAGAGAGAAAGTGAGAGAGAGAGAGAGAGAGAGAGAGAGAGAGAGAGAAATAAAAAGACAGAAAAAAAGAGAAAGAGAGATTGTGAGTGTGTGTGTGTGTGTGTGCATGCATGTGGGTAAGAGTTGCTTAGTGACTTCCCTCACAGGGACCACTGAGTAAAGTACATAAGAGTACAGTAACACATTCAACATCATTTTCTTGGAATGCCAGAGAGGACCTCTGAAAAAAAAAAAATAACAACTGACCAAAGCAATGGAATGAGGCGAGAAAAAGTCTGGCACATGCAACTGAAAGAAGAAGAATAAACATGACCAAAAATAACCCAAACGTAATGTCTCATACAGGGTGTATAATTCAACAAAACAAATACTGCCCTACACAAAATATAAATTTGTTTAAATAATTGACTTTATACAATACCTTTTCTCACTTTTTTTCCTAGCTCAGAACACCTTATTATACTAATAGTGGAAAGTAGGGGCGCGAAACTGTCTCACAGTCTCATAAATGCATATTTCTGTTTCAGCAAAGGATAAATTATAGATTTAACAGGGTTTACATTTCTAAGCCTAAAATGATTAATAATCCCGTCAAAAGAAAACATGATTAGAAAAATACACATAACAAAGCCATAGCAATATTACCCTTTTGAACACATGTGAGCAACACTAGCCTAGGGCTATGAACTTTGGCATTCGGGATCTTCACACAAATATGTGTGTCGTCGTGGTGAAATCAGGTGCTCATCAAAATAACGAAATTTAAGAAACCAACATTTATTTTCCCTCTATTGGGCAGTTATTACCATTTTTTTTTTTCCGGTTCAACATCTTTATGTCCACTTGACAACACAGCCCTGCGTGGGTTTTACAGAAAAATACTGATCAAAGGCACAAAAAATGTAAATTTGCAGGTTCCAAGGATGCTCAAGCTTTGCTGGCCCTTCTCTCGCTAATTTTACCTCTAACACTAGGTGACCCCCAGCTCCTTCAATCGCAAATATCTCGACTTCTTTTCATGATAAATGGGCATCTTTTCATCAAAAGCAAGGCAAATAATAAACAGGCTTTTAAATGATATTAATAACCCCACATGCCCAAAAATTGACGAGCGCCTGATTCCACCATGTCGCTGGAGGATTAGTTCGCACTGCCAGCTAGTTGAAGATATGATTCATTATTTCATGAAACATACACACTCTAATTAGTTGGAGCTGGAGCCCGTTATTATGAATGAGTGTGGAGGCAACAAATAATATTCATCAGACACAGGGCTGTCTCATGCTAAATGATGGTGCATGCATTTTACTAGAGCAAAAGAGCTTTTAAGACAATGGAGATAGCACTATTTTCCACAACAGTATGGACTCAGCTGACATATGTGCACACATCAGTGACACCTGAATCTGTTACTATCTTGTCTATTCTAATCCGGATCTGCCGAGTTTTAATTGATATACGAACAATATGTCATTCTAAAAGCAAAAGACAACGCCTTCAAAGTACATGTAGAAGAGGTAAAATGTCCGAGGAAATAAATATGAGCAAAAATATGAGCTCAGTTGGATTCTTACTTCAACTTTCCGAGTATAGGTCACATTTGCACGCTAAAGCAAAAATGGCAGACAGTTTGTAAACTGAAATGTAAGAGCTTTTCCTCTTCCATACAATGCTGACAGTGTAATCATACTATCAAACTCACTAGAAAGATTAGTCTCAAGCATCTTTAAAAACAAAATAGGCTCACATTGGTCTGAAAGATGTAGGGTACAAAACTGCAAGAATTGAATGTGACAACACTTGGACAACACTGTCATGAATTTTCAGGAACAAGGTACAGTTCGGCCTCATCTAGTTTCAACTCAAATACAAACGTTTTTCATGTATATTCTTTAATCCTGCTTCATGTTATGTAGTACACAATTACTTCAACTGTAAAAGTTTACACAGAACACAATGCCTGACCAAAAACAAAAATCCAAATGATACTGAAAAAGAGAAAGAGATAGAGAGAGAGAGAGAGAGAGAGAGAGAGAGAGAGAGAGAGAGAGAGAGAGATACAGAGAGAGAAAAAGTGCTTAAAGACACTTTGGTATTTTAATCTACTCAATAAAGGCACTTTTGATAGCAAAAGAGAACTTAACATTAATAGTGGAGCACATCAACATTCCTTCAGCAGAAGAGGGATTTTGAAGAGCTTACTCAACACAAAATAGAATCATCTAACACCTTTCAAATATAAAATACATTCAGCAGTACATTTACGGGTTTTTACAGAAAAATTATTGGTGCTGTATTAGCTTTCAGTTGAAGAAAAAGGCACTCTTTTTCACCATTTGGTGCTCCCAAAATAGAAAACTCCTACACAGTCCGCCTGAGTTGCCCCTCTAAAGTTGGTACTGAAAGTTGAGTTTGTGCCCCTTGAAATAAACATAGCAAAATAAAAACGGAAGAAAACATCTTCGGTCAAATACATGGCTAAGTCAGGTTCATTTTCTTAACCCTCCTAGAGACATCATCCAATTAATTTAGCCATAGTTTTTGAGTCACGATTTCGGTTCATTTACCCTGTTTTTTTATATCGCCAAACATGTCCACTCTCTAAAAAAATGAGTTTTACTTCCTTCTTATATTCTACTTTAAGAAAATGTATAGGTTAATGGTCTTTACTTGCTTGGTTTTTCAGTTCCCAAGCATTGTTTTACATAATTCCCCTCACACCATAGGCTATTTGTTAAAGACAAATGGAGGGTTAACTGTTTAGACACATGAAAACTTAAGTCTATAAAGATGACAGATCAGCAAGAAAAAAAACCTGGGCAGAAAGGCACACATTACTATGTACTGATGATAAAATCAGGTTTTTACAGACAAAGGCTACTTTGATTGCAGTGCACATCTTTTGTTTCAAACAAAATCCTATCCAGCAAAGCAAACTTGAAAAGGAGTTACATCAACCATCTCAACAAGGTCTGGGAAAATTGCAAGAAACAGAGAACTTTTAGTTTAGTTCAGATACTACAATAAAAGAGAATTACCCCCTCACCCCCCCCCCCCTCCCACCCTCAAGGAGAAATAACCAGATAGACAAACTGAGACAACAGAAGAGCATAAAACAAGTATGAAATACCAGTAGTGCACTCCTACCACCTGCCCAGAGAACTTTTCCCCATTTAAGACATTCTATCCATTTTTTGTTTCAGTAATGAAGTGCACATCGACACAATAAAGGTCATTTAGTGCTTGTAAAGAGCAAGATAAAGAGACAAAAAGCAGAGGAAAAGAATGTAAACCAGGCAGATCATGGGGACAAAATAAAGGGCAACAAGGTGACCTGTTCACAACAGTCTTTCTTTAACAATATGTCAACCACAACTATACTTTGCTACTGTCGCAGAAGAAGAAGAAGAAAATTGTTTTTATCTAAATACTACTCTTGGTTAAATAAATCAAGTACCTTTAAGTATAAAGGTAACAGTTTAAGCAGTAGATTACATAAATGGAAATCCTTTCCATGAAAAAACAGGAAGAAAGTGAAAGCGTAGAATGCAATGTAAAAAAATCCATGTTGTTGGCACAAATTGTACAAAAAGTTCACAGAAAATTATAGTGCATACATTACAAAACAAGGTATAAGCAATTTCCGCTAGATGTCTCTTTTGATATTGAAGATAACGGGGTTTGTAAAAGAAAACATGTAACATTCTTTCTAATGAGACAAAAATATATTGCCTTTCGGTGGGGGTTTTGTTGTTAGACAACGACATGTCACAGAGGAGGGGTATATTATATGACAGGAGGATGCATAAAATTGCAAATCCTTCCCTCTGAGACTTCATGTAAAGAACTCAGAAGAGTAGTATAAGAAAAGAAAGCAAAAGTAATATTGACAAATTATAGACACATTTTGATTTTTGTATTTTTAAAAGTTAAATCACTTTGCAAAGACAACTGGAAATGAAATAGGCCTACCTATCAAAACATAGCACATTCTCCTAAAAAAAAAATACTGTAGTCTGTCATTAGAAAGTCAATTCAAATTAAATCCAAATGCACAAGAAATGTATTAAATAAAGACAAAAAGAACAAATTTTTTAGCAATTATAAAAAAAAGCACATCCCATTGCAGACTACAGGGACTACAGAAATTTTAAGAGAGAAAAACACCCATTAGCTTAGTAGTAATCTCGCCATGGTTCAGTGACATTGTAAAATGAAAAAAAAACAGGAAGAGAAGATAATATACAAATTGCACTTGAGTCAAAAAATCCAATGTACCTACTATTAGTTCTACAAGAATCATAAGACGAAAAAATATGCTCTTAAGAAACCAGCAATCAAATTTCTTTTCCTGGAAGGATACAAATAGAGATCAATTTGACATCTGGTATTGGGTTAAAACGAGCCGTAACCTCACAACTTCACAAATCGGATTACACACTGTATGATCATGTAGGTATCTATAAGCTATACGTAAGGCATTCAGATCACCGTACCGAACAGAGATATAAGTAGAAACTTATACGATACTAACAATTTTCCAGAACGATGTACATGCATTTTAAATAAATGACATAAAATGAATAACAAACTGAACTGTTCAAGGGGAGGACATTATGGAGGGATGGGGACGGGGTTTTGATGTGATCAGATCGTTGCACCATCTTCCACAACACTATCTAAAGGAGCTCTGGAACACTCTGTTGAAGCAAACAAGCACCATGCCATCTTTCAAGAGCACACTTTAAATCGCTAAAAGCAAACACCGTTAAATTCAAAGCTCTTGAAATGCCTCAAAATGATTTTTTTTTTAAAGAAAATCATTTTACCTTCTGATATGGCTCAATACATTTTGATACAGACTTTTACAATTTTTTGGCATCGTTAAATACAACACATTTTTCAAAACCCCAGTTGTGACTGTTTGGAAACTTTCTCCTCAAAAGTGCACTTCATGATGAAAGAATGTTGCATTGGAATGGGTGCCAAGGAAAACGACAAGAGTGATCCAAAAACTGCTACCATTCTACCAAGCCGAATTGAAGCACCATAAGGGGGAAAAAAATGACATTTTGAAATATAAAAAGTTCATTTTGATTTGTTTCACAACAACCATGTATTGTTATTAACCAAAATTGTACGGGGCAAATGACGAAAACACATGATGAATAGGATAATTTCAACAGATTTTTCTATTCAACAGCCATATTGAAGAATCGAGATATGAAAAACAAATCACTAAAAATCACTACGAGTTGATTTTACGTTCACAAAATTGCAAGAAAAACATTGCAAATTCCTACTCAAAGATTGAGAAAACAATTGTAAAAAAAAAAAAAAACTCAGGTAAAACACCCTGTACCTATGCTACAAAGGTGTAGATTCTGAAGTTTTTCCGTGGAATAGATTCCAGTAGTCAGGAGGATCAATATTTTGGCCGCAGGGGTAGACAAGCTTTTCTTGTCCTGATATAGTGATTGGATTCTCCTAGGGGAAAAACATGAAATGAGAAAATTAATCCACAAAATCATTTTTTAATTAAGAAAGATTGGCAAGAATAATAGAAAAAAACACACAAAAATCTAAAAGTAAGAAAAAGGAAAGAAAGAAATAAGAAACTTGGAACATCAAACTCATACGACAAAAAACAGACTGTCATAAACCTTAACCAAATTCATTATAAACCAAACATGATCTTTTAAACTAAAGACACAACTTTCACTTCTTGTCATTCAAATCTTTTAACAAATGCTGTTGAGCGGTTGAAATCCCACAGAATTGCATTCTACTTTGAGACAACACAGCAAACTATATTTTGCCAGGAGCAGATGAATATAATAGTAAAAAAAAAATTAATGAAGTAAACGGCGCTGACTACAACAGAGCTCTTTCAGAATCTCTCCATCCCTCAATCCCTCCCCCCCCCAAAAAAAAATGCTGTAAAAAACTCAAGCTAAAGAATGGACAATTTTGGTCAGAAAAATCAACAGCTGAACAAAAAATCTGTCCAATCATTCCTCCAATCAATTCTAAGCAGAACTAATGCTTGCTGAGTGAATATTCTTACATTCTTACACACTATGACCTGACTAAAGAGACCACCTGTTATATCTTTTTCCCTCTACTCCAAATGTAAACAACGTCATACATTGCACAGGAGCTGAAAGCCAAGAACAAGCTAGTAAAAACAGGAGTAAAAATAAACTGAATTAGTCTGGAATATAAAACTGACAGTTTTTTTTTCCTTTGTTGTTATTTTTTAATGATAAGAAATATTATTGGTAACTAAATCCCAAGAATTGCCACTTGGAGAAAAAAAAAAATATAGAAAGAAAACAAAGCAGGAATTACTGAATTGGTTCTGAGCAGTTACAGAGTGCACATCTTTTGTTTGAATTCCAAGTATGACATTTTTAAACTTGGGTTGTTCGAGGAGTTATCACCACTTTCAACCCAGTTAGCCTGGTCATGTCAGAGGTAAATGTGAACTAAGAGGTCCAGCATCTCAAATAAATGTACTGCACCAAACCAAGTGATACAATCAATACCGGGTTAGGAAATACTTAGGACCTAACAATGGCATTCTTCAATCACATGTGAAACACGAGTCTCTGAAAGTCCTACCTTGTGAAACTTGACTAGGTCAGCAAGAGAGTTATGCACAGTTTGGTCCGCACCGAAGAACTGGTATCCGAGATCTGACGCGTCTATAAGGAAGTGCTTGTAACGACTGGCTTCTTTGTAGGATAACGTGTAGCCCCAGACCCGCTCACTCACTCGTATAAGGTAGGACCCATCTTTCTTGGACTCCAAAAGTTTCTCACACTCTGATCGATTGATAATGCCTTGAATAGAATGAAAAAAGACATAAATGATTTAAGATATATGAAAGAACAGAAGAGCTAAGAGACCAAAATTGAGATCTCAAGTATAAGACCTAGACTAATAAAATTAATGAAAAAATGCAAATCAATCAGATTCAATAGAGAGAAATGAAAAGAACGGACAGATACAATTTGAAATCACAAGAACAAATGCTAGTGAGGTTTCATTTCTTTCTAGAACTTTGAATGATTCGGAGCTGATGAAAAACAAAAGTTTAGAAATCATTTCTTCATTCAAACCTGTCTAATTTTAGCCACAATACAAAGGAAACCATGAACAAATTGCCAAAATGATACAGTACTTGCTGTCCTGTGAAAAAAATACACAATGTGTTTCTTACATAAAAACAGGTAGAATAGGAACTCATGTGATTGTCCTTTAGTCCTCCACCAAAATACCAAAAACCTCTTCATCTGTCACTCTGTAATTTTTCAGTTCCTCGCAAACAGCAACAGCGTGTTCAGGAAATGGTGGCAAGCGGAACACCTTTATATATTTTGAGACTTTTCACCTTAGTGACAAAAATGAGGAGATATTCAAGTACCATACCACATTCTAATCAAAATTCCTCCACTTGAAAAATAATGGTATTTTCCTTTCCCTTTTTTTTCTAATTAAAAGTAAATAACAAGTTACTAATCCTGACCATGAAACCATTCCGCTACTTTGCCAGTCGCAGGGTCCAGGCCAGTTCCTTTATCCTTTTCCTCCTTCTGAAACCAACTGATGATCATATCCTGCCCCTTTGGTCTCAGGGGTCGGGGCTTTTTGTTGGTTATTCCAGGGGCAGACGTGACTATCAAATGCTTCCTAAAAGGGGGAAAAAAAAAAGAAAGATTCTTTAATTCAGGAAGGGAATCTATTCAGTGAAGAAAGGTTGCTTTATAGCAAGGGAGGAAATATGATCTACCAGTGGAACTCTCAATTTTCAAATGAGCAAAATTGTATATTATAATACAAGGGGAATACCAACAATGGAATGACTTACATCACAGGATCGAGCTCTAAAGCATGTAAATTGTACACAGCTTCTTTCAAAGTACTAGACTCTTCACAGCAGGGGTCCTACTCATAAGAAAAAAGTTTTCAAGGATTTTTCCTAGTTTCCGCCTCGGTTATTTAAACTATTTTTCAAGGTGAATTTTATGGGAGAAGGGGTGGGGGAGTTAATGTCAGAGAGGATGAAGAAATGAAAAGAAATGTGCTAGCTGAACTAGAATAAACTGACCAATCAGTGACATGATCATAAAAAGGCCTAAAACATGAAAAAAATTCAAGTGATTGTTATTTTTAATCACCCAGTTTAAAGTACCCACTTTTTCAAGAGCCTTTCCTTTATTTTCATCCATCTTCATGAAGCTTTTTCAAAGACACAAGCTGAAATTGAAATTCCTCACTTTTTCTCCTTCTCCTGGTTGTGTGGGAACCCTGTGAAGTTTTTTTTTTATTCCCTCCAACATTCAGTGTACTTACTTAGGAGGTAAAGGTGGCTTGTTCCCCGGGCTAGCTGGCGCACCAGAAAAGGCTTGTGCAGCTTGCATCATGGTGAAGGAACGGCGTAAGGACTCCTTGTATTCCACTCTAGCTTTGCGGGCAAGCTCACGAATTTGCTTGTCCGCCTCCTTCGCTTTCTTCTCTGTGAAAAAAACCCATGAGGAATCAGTTAAGAAAAGCATTGTATCTGAAGAGCTTTATCAATATCACTATAGGATCCACAATTTTAATAAATAAAAACAAAATTGTTATCCGCTGTCTTGCTACACCCTATTTGAGATGAAATCTCACGCTGTGAGTAGTCTACACAGCAAGGAGCCATTCTGTGGGCACTATGAATGTCAGACAATGAGGATTTTTGTCCCATTTTTAGTGAATTTATTATTGATCAAGAAAAAATACTTTCAAACAGGCTCGTAGCCTTCATAGTACTGGCTGAACGTTTTAGGGACATTCATTCCAAGCGTACGATGCAGTAGACCAGAAATGGTTAAAGTACAGGGTGATCAAAAAAAAAGAACTGTACAACTTTTTTTGTTAATATTTTCCTTCACACTTAAGTTTTGTGTGTCAAATTAGTACACAACATTTAGAAGTCAAAAGGAATTTGTCTGATATTCATTTTAGAAAAATCCACAGAATAGAGCATAAAAAAACAACCCATTTTCAGCGATGTTCCCATTTTTGTAGCATGATGCACAAATTAGCATTAGGTCTACCACTAAAAATCCCAACAATTACGCCAAGTTTAACAGGCCAACAGAGGTTTGCAAACAGTTTTTCTCAACTTTCCGTTGCCTGATGAGATCACGGTTTAGATTAGTAAAGAGCAGAGAGCTTTTTGTATAGAACATTTCCTCACCACCAACTCATTTCGTAAGTTTCACACAAGGTACGGAAATAATGCTCATGTGCTCTTAAGGCCTTTTCGATGTCAAGGGTTGAAATGGTTCATCCGTCAGGACCTATAGAGAATCAGAACTAAAAATTTCCAAACAAAACGACCACTTCAGGTCAAACACACACAGTTCGCACCCCTTTAAACGTCACCAGGGTGCAGAATTCACTGGATGAGCCCCATGAGACATCTCACGTCTGTCCGTAGACGATGTCCGCACCAATGACTTTCCTTCATCTCAACGGTCTGCATTCTCAAAGCAGATCTTCATCTATGACTGTACCATTTTCCCATTCTCGAAGCTATCAGTGTGTTCATGATTCCCCAATTGTCTTGAAAAGCGTGAACATTTCTTCCATGACATTTGGTTCCTTGGCAAAGCAAATGTTCACCTTTCAGGTTATATCAACTCCACAAATGGTGTCTATTTGGGCAACCTCGACCCCCCTCCCTTACTGTCTCTAGAAACAGCTCCATAGTGTAAGGTCTGCAGTGTGTGTGGCTTTGAGTACTCATGGTTGAGTGTCGAGTCCAAAGGAGGACATATAGACCATTGGTTCTCAGAATTCCAGAATTTTAGAAATATTTTTAGTTCTGCAGGAAAAAAGAAATATTGTTACAGGGGTGGAAAGATTAGATTTTTAAAACAGACGGAAAGGAAAAAACCTAATCATTCCATGACTTTCCTTACAAGAACTTTTGAATTGGTCCATTTCGCATTTATAGGAGGATTTTATAAACACCATTTCCTTTTCCAAAAATAGGTTTCTTCTTCACAAATTTTATGTCAAACAAATTCCTTTTGAATGAATTGTATCTGTTCCAAATTACAAGTCTAGAACTAATTTTGTGCGAGATATTAGGGGTAAAAAATGTACAGTTTCTTGGATCACCCTGTATTGCAAAATAAGCAAGAAAATAATGGGATACTTTGCAATAAAAGAGAAATTGCATGTTAATGTAAAGTGGTCTTAAACTTTTGGCCCCGACTGTATATTTGTTTACAGCGACAGGAGAGAGTCTAAGATAGATATTGTATCAATGGCCATTGTATAAGTTTAACACCCCTTTCAACACATTGACGTTATTCGAGAGGGGGGAACCTCCGATTTCAAAGTCCATCTCCGATAGAGCCGAACCAAATAGATGGAGAGCCTCAGAAACTTCCCATAACAACCAAAGTTCAGAACGTCATGCTGGGCATTTGAACCAGGGCCAGCATGTTCATAGTTCAGAATGATAACAAATGAGCTAATGGTGTGCCCCCAGAGAAGGGAGTAAGTTCTTTGGGTAATCGTTCTCATAAAAAAGAAAAAAGATGGCAATGAATCAAATCTTCAAAGGGAGAAGCAGTGACAACGAAAAGCATCACATATTCAAGGTAAACACATTCTCCCTGTAAGTCCATACCTTGCTCTAACCATGTCGACTCAGCTTCCTGAGATCCTTCCTCTGCCAGTTTGACCAGGGTCTGGTGTTTTCTTTGTAGAGTGGAGAAAATCTCACTGCTCCTCTTTTCCCGCATGCTCTCCGCAAACTCCCGTGATCTTCTCTTGGCCCGTTTTTCTTGCTCCTACAGGTATGGGAGTGGGGGAGGACAAAAAGCATCATGTTTTGGTTTGGTCTGAGTCTGACAAGCACATCAACATGAGACGATCATTTCATACAGGTGAAAGACAAGATAACATAGAAATGCAGAAAAGTATGACATACAAGTGGCGCTCTTCAACTAACTGTACTTTGGTACATAATGAGTAGCGCATTGGCAATTCAGAAAAGGATATATTTAAAACAGAGCAGAAAAAGAAGACTATACTACTCAGTTAATGTAGATTTCCAGACTCTTTAACAATGTGGAGTATGAATGTAGGTGACCAAGACATATGGCACAGGAAAAGATGATGGCAACATCCACAAGCAGTCATTAGAAAGGTTATTTCTGGAGAGGTGATATCGAAAATCAACTTGCCAAAGTCACTGCTAATACATTAGCCTTTTGAGTTTAAGTAAGAGTTTTACTGCACTTGAAAGACAATTAGGTCAAATAAGAGCCGACGATTAGAGGTGGTACAAGAAACAAACACAAAAAAAGGAGCGATAAGGATGATAGATGTCTGATAGGAAAGAAGGAGCAAACCACATCAGAGCACAGACCAACGACCTACGCAGCCTGTACGTGTAAACATTTTGGCTACTTTGAGGTGGGAGAAAATCACGAAGTATGGCTCTTTGTAAGGAGTTATTAAATTAAATGATCAGGTTTGGAAAAAGAAGTTATTTAAAGGAAATAAACAAAATATATTGGCCAAATCCTTTAAATGATTGAATTGCAATGTCCTTTGAGAGAGAATATTGAGTTGAACATCACAAGCAGTATTAGTCCTAATATCCAACAAAATTAATGTCTAATTAAACATGATACAACTGCAAAGTCAGACATAGTAAAAGTTTGTTTACACATTTCTTTAAGATCGAAGTGGATAAATATAGGGGAAAAAAATATATGCAGACAGAAACACAGCACACGGAATGCATGGTCAGCAAGAATACCGAAAAACTCATGCAGCTGTAACGCTTCAAAAAACATATCATTTAATCATCTGAGACGAGTCACATTTACTTCCATACAAAAGAAGCAAAGGATAAATTTTTAGGGCTCAACAAAAAAAAAAGAAATATTTCAGTCTATCAAATTGGCAAAGTATATTACATTACACATATTTAGCAGCACATTGGTAACAAAACAGAAGTAGTTGGGTGAAACGGTGAAATGGTACAGGTTTAACGTCGCTATCAATATTATTAGGTTATTTAAGAGGCTGGATCTCCGAAAGGACAGAGCTAATGGGAATTTTGTGTTTGGTGCCTTTCCCAAGGACACAATGTCGGACCGAGCAGAAGCTCAAACCCACGAACCCAGAACCTAAAGATTATGGGCCGGGTAGCCTAACCACTAGGCTACCTATGCCACTGAAGTTGAGAGGGAATATAAATGGCAAATTACACACTTTTCAGTACCAGAATGCACCTAGCCATACCCTCTTTTTTCATTAATTTAAAATAATTTAAACCAATTTTATTACATAACTAGATGGGATTGGCTTTTGTTTTCGTGGACTACAGGAAACATTTTCTTCCAAAACATGAGAAGTAAAGTCTACTAAAAATTACTGGTAGAGAACTTAACAGGCCTAAAGATACGCAAGTAACTAGCTTAGACAGCAACTTTAAGGCCATTTTTTTGCAATACTATGCGAGGCATCAAGGTGAAATCAGGCACTTGTCAAAATAATGAAATCAAGGATATGGGCATCTCTCTGGCTGTTCTGTAATTTTTACTGAATTTTAGTTTTTAGGCTCAACACTTTTTTATTACCTATTAAAAAAACATTACTTTCAGGATTTACTGGAAAAACATTGATTAAAGGCACATAAAAATGTAAATTTATAGTTTCCAAGGACTCTCGGGCTTTGGAAGTCATCAAACTTTGGCAGCCATTTTGTCGCTAATTGTACCTCAGAAATCAAGCACCCGCCATTTCAACTAATCACAAATATTTCGACTTACATTCACGATAGAAGAGTATTTTTTCATGGAAAGCAAGACAAATGAACGAGCTCTCAGATGAAACCAAAAACTCTATATGCCCAAAAAAACTGAAGAGTGCCTAATTTCACTGCGTCGTAACACATATTGTTCTCGAGGACATCATAACGTAAAAGCCTTATAAAAATGTGCTCTAGATGTATTGTCCACGATTGTCCAGTGTGTGCATGCACTTTGTATTGAGCACTTTCCTAGAAGAAATGCACTATATAAATGCAATCTATTATCTATTATCAGTATTACTATGTTAGAGGACATGCCCTATTCAAACCCTTTTCAGTACGTGAGGCAGAAGATATTTTCAAAGCCCTGAATAGGGTTTATAAAACTTAACTTGGTTTTAAATGATAGACTGCATCATCAGCAAATACATCTATGTGATCCATATAATAAAAATGGTAGATAACAAAAGAGTATGAAAATGAACCAACTGAAGGAGAATGAATGAATGAGACAGTAGTTTTAAAGTGCTACAGTGCTTTGACAAAACTCCACTAACCAACAAATCTGTCTAGTTTCCATCCATAGGTAATTGGAGGTACACAAACTAGCAGAAAAATATACTTCCATAAATCTATGAAAGTTGGGGGGAAGGGGGGGAGGAATTGCTATACAGCATCCTGATGTGTCATTCAGCAAGTACAAAATAATAAGGTTTATGAATAGTGCACATGGAAATCCCAACCCGAAACCATTTCAACAACACTACAGGAGATAAGAAGACTGTTCGTGCCAGCAAACAACTTTCAGATCATTTTTACCAGTGCCAGAAATTTAGAAACAATTAAATACAATCTGATCATACAGTTTGTGATTGAAGCCCACAGTTCAAAATTTAAAAAACCTCTGACATTCCTCTGCAGAGAGATTTTTTACACATCATTGCATAAGAAACAGGTGATATAAAGAAAGAACAAAAGATTGAAAGAAAGAAAGAAAGAAAGGAAAAAGGCCAAAAGTTATTCAGACATCAACGTCAAAGGCGATAATAATACAAAATACACAGGGCATGTAAAATTCATGATGACTGATCCATCCTACCAATCCTTGTGCATTCAATATCTTTAAAAGGCAGCAAATGAAGATCAGCATAGTGTCAACACTGAGAGGTTAACTTTGAAACTGGAGTTTTGTCAACAAAAATTCTAGTTATCGTCTTTCCCCTCTATTTTATGTATATATACGGTAAAAATCTAGGAGCAAATCTTCTGCAACCACAAGTTCCATTTTTTAACCCTTTCTCCACTTAACCCGTGATGAACTTCAATAATAACAAATCTGTTGACCATCCAAAAACTTTCACCAGAATTCTTAATGAAAGTATGAAAATCATCAAGGGTGAATTTATTTCAAGACAGAAAAGTAAAAAAAAAAAAAAGAAAAACATTCAAATGCTTCAAATGCACAAAGGATAACAGCACTGAAATCAACCAATCAGAGAATGTTTGGAGTACCAAAAAGGGGACATCGGCTGCCAAAAATTAGGTCAACACTGAAAAATCATACTGCATCTTCTTAAGCAAGCAAGACAGAATGCTAAAAGAACTAAAATGCAGGAGAATGTTTTCTGATGCAACTTGAAACTGTAAGAGAAAAAACAAACTAATGGACAGGCACCCAAAAGGGGAACCAAACAGTACAGTAGATGCAGCTAAAAACATCAACATTGTTTTTTTCATTGTCAAAAAGAGGAGGCTAAAACACAAACAGGGTCCTTTTCTTTTTTGCAGCATATTCTTTATGCATGCATACTAACCAATACTTCAGATGGAATTGTTATAATTGGTGAAGGGCAAGGGTCCTCCATCATTTTGTGAGAAGGGTTTTTTTTCTGCTGAAAGGACATCCAGAGCACAACTACATAAGAGTCGGGTGAGAGGTAAAAAAATATGTCCACACAATAATGGTCATTAGCTTAGAGAAAAGAAAACAAGAAAGAAAATAAAGACAATGTTATTAATTCTGTCTCACTACATTTGTCATACTTCGGCATTTTCAAAAACAAACTGTATTAGATTAAAACAACCTATGTACTAACATTTTTCAAAAGGACATACAGGACTGCCAGATGCAGAAAAGCAACATCTTAACTTAGAGCTAGGTTGAAAGTTTCACTGCTATGGGCACCCATCAAGTAACTATTGGCACTAACCAGTCTCTTTTTTTTATATAGGAGAAAAAAATAGAAATAGAATGGACCGAATGGACACCCCCTGCCTAACTGACTTTGATAAGGCCAATGTCTTCGGAATTCATGAGAACACCACCAATAAACTCACTCCTCCCCTGTCGTTTTGCTCAAGATCTCAGGACTTACAAAGTTCTATATTTATTGCCAGACTGTTATGATTGATTGCAAGAGGTTCTTTCATCCCATCAAAACAATTTAAACAACTTAGCAAGCAAGTTGCTTCCACTTGCCTGTCAAGGTCAACTGATGGCTCAGAGAGATACAGAGCCCCGCAGAAAGACACAGCAATTGTACTCATATATTTAGCCTGCAATTGTGAAGAACCTTAACAGTATCTAGTCCAAAGCTGGGCTAGTTTCCCTTGCCTGAGCACAAAGTTTCTCTACAACCAGCACAACCTGACAAGTGACCTTATATTTCAGCTGTGTAACTCAGAAACTGTTAGAAAAGTGTACTTAGTTTACAAGAGAAATGAATAAACTATATATTCATGCCAAGTATGAACAATTATTTTGTGCATTATTTGTCAAAGCTTTTCCATCTTCCTCTCTGTATTTTTCTGGTTGAAAACACACAAATATTCCTCCTAAAGAGAGATTTATTGATTTTCTGCATCTGGGATGGGGTATTTTTTTTTTTAATATTTTTTTTTTAGTAGAGGGTTTTACGGCGCTCGCAATGGCATAAGGTCATATATGAGTGCTAAGGGGTGGGTGTCAACAGAGAAGTCTTTACAGGGAATCAGACTTAGACTGCTCACCTCTCTAGCTTCAACAGCACAAGGTCTGCTTCGACTATCAAGGCACCCATAAATAGCAGGTCACAAGAGAGTGACAAACATATAAAAGAAGTAGAGGAAAATGACAATAGTAAGGATCAGGAAAGAAAAAACAGCAGTTCCCTGTTGTAGATCAGGCACAGTTAAGAGCGTGACATGAGTCAGCCCATTTACAATTCTACTCTGCTTGAACAAGAAATGTCCCCCCTTTGGGAATGAATTAGAGACACTACAGTCAGTGGCACTGCTCCGGGGGTAATGGGGTATTCTAAGCTGAGGAGTAATAGACATCTCATATTACAATGCCTCTACCTTGGACCTATAATTTTTCTTTTAAGACAAATAAATTGGAAATATCTCTATAAATGTGTATAAGATATGACTATAAAACAAACACAATACTCACTTCTATTTCCGCAAGCCTTTTCTTTTCTTCTTCCTCCATTCTCTTCTTCTCAATTTCCATTCTCTCGACTGCCAACCTGGCTTCTTTGATGGACTGATACAGAGCTGCCTCCTCCTGCTCACGTCTGAAACGAAGATTTGAAATTCAGAACAAATCCTTAAAATAACTGATTTATTTCATCAGGATTCAGATCAGGATAGCCGTAAAACATAAAAAGAAGTTGAAAGAGTAAACACTAGCTGAGTTAAAGTACCCATCAACTGTTGAATCTCCTGGTGTATATTCAGGAAAGAGGAGATATGACACGACAATGATCAAAGCACTGAACCCTTAAAGAAGTCAGAAGCCCCTTGTAGGGAGGGGGGAGGAGGAGAGAGAGAGAGAGAAGGAGTGAGAGAGAGAGAGCGAGAGAGAGAGAGAGGGAGGGGGTTTAATTCAATTCTTGTACTTTGCCATTGATACACACAGGTGAACAAAGGCACATGTCATTTTCATTTGCACGATAAAACCACGAGACCAAAAAGTCACAGTCATTTAATCAAAGATCCATAGCTTCTGAGTACACAAAGCTTTGCTCTGGAAAGATAAATCCACTTAGTACAACACTTTGTACTAAACAAAGCGAATACGGTCCATATAACATCGTTTTTTTATTCTTTAGTTTCAGCAAACAAACCATATTGGATTGTTAAATCGGTAACTGGAAAATTGTAAAGGTCAAATTAATTTGGCCTTTTTTTTTCTTATCTCATTCACATCAACTAACAACGTAGTAAAAATCAGAGCCTTCAGAACCCCACAAGATAAAAATTATGTAAGTAACTGACTATGGCAAACAAACATATATTATTTAAATTACACACAAATAAATATGTGCATTTTCATGTCATTTTTGATAAGTCATGAAAATGTAGGAAATATGCAAATGAAAATGTGTATTTTCAAGCCACTTATAATAAATCGCTTATGAACCAACGGATACAGGATTCAAGAAAGATTCTGATTCTATGCAAATCCGATCAGGTTCTGGTCAGATATTCATAGAGTCTGATTTTTTACAAGAGAAATTAAAAAACTATATATTCGTTCCTTGTTGGACAGTTCCAATTTTATTTAAGTACTTGGCAAGTAAGGAAAAAGCATACCCATCCCTAAGACTGGAACATTTTCAGTTCTGACAAATTTTTCTATCCACAACAGAACAAAAAAAAATGCACAAAGGTCCCTTTAGTTTAGGATATTATGTATTAAAAATTTGGAACAGAATGACAGAATGTTGGACAGATATTATTTTCATCCACACTTCAATGTAGAAGTACTCACATTGCTAGTCCTGTTGAGAGTACAGTCAGGAAACAAGTAAAATACTCAATGTCGGTAATTAAGGAGACAAGGTCCACTATAGATAAAAAAAAGCCACTTACTTGATCTTGGCCTCACGTTCTTCATTATCTCGCTTCACTCTCAGCTTCTCTTCTTCCATTTTCCGATGAAGCTCTGTTTCCTCTTTCTCCCTGTATGATAATTTTTGTATAGCATGATGTTATGGTTCAAGTCAAATAAAACTCTCCTGACATAAACCTTCATTGCTGCACACATTGGAACAGAGAAACACTATGTAAGAAAGACAGACAAAAAGACGAGCAATATGACTGGCCCTGAATACAACTTATACATTAAGTTAATTAAATCCATTTTCATCTTATTAAAAAAAAATAATTGTAAGACCCATTAAAAAAATGATAAACCTTGCTCAAATCAAAGTGATAAGAAATACTGACGTATCAACTTAATGTAAATAAAAGCCACAAATATTTTTATTCAAAATGTAAACAAACATTGTGAGTATTCCATTTTTGTGGAATGCTTTTAAATCTATGGTGAAAAACAAGCACTCTTATTCATTTAAAAATACATTGGTCAAGGGGACACAATTGGCTGAACCCACTTACCTGAGTGCCACAGCTTCTGCTTCAGCCAACTTTTGAGCTGTTTTCTGTGCTTCTTCCTCGAGAATCTGTTCTATGGATTTATCATTAGGGTGCTCACCCATGATCCACACCCACTCGCAACCATCTCGCCCTTTCAGGAAATTTACTTGTTTCTTTCCTGGGGAGTTCAAATTTCAGTTTTTCATACGAGTCAGGGAAATATGCAGAAAAATACAACGGTAAAAATTCCGTGACAACACTTTCAATAAAAAGCCAAGAAAAAAAGAAGCAAGTTAGGATAATTTATAGGTCATGGCTATTCAACATAATCATGGCCATAATTTAGAGTGACAGAAAAACACTACCACTGCAAAGAATTTGAGGATATTAAAAAATGCATAGACAAAAACCTGCTGTTACCTTGGACAAATAACTAAGAGAATACATTTAAAATTATTGATTTATTGTTTTATAATGGCAATATTATTGTTTCATTGTTTTGTTATGATTATAATCTTAGATAGTAACAAAAGAGTATATAGATGAACGACAAAAAAAAAAGTCTAAAAAACACAAAGATGAATTTCTTTTAACAATAATCTTGTCCAAAACACCTGATGAAAACAAATGTGAGTTCAGTTTTTAAAATGCAGTTCACCTATCTACATATTACACACTCCTAATTTGTGATTTTATTATCACCTGATTTTGCGGGTTTCTTGTTTTTTTTCTTGTCCTCTTCCTCCATTTTAGCTTCAAACTGGTGCCATCTTTTCACCTGCTCCTGAAAAACCAAGACACAAACAGAATCACAATTACTTCAGGCATCATTTCAAATTTAGAGGACAGCCTACTACAGTTGGAAAACTTAAACCTCTACTGCAGAGTAGAGACAAATGTCTTACAAAATTTAGATTCACACATTTGTCCAATTCCATTTTGCACAAAAGACACCAGCAGCTGTGGTGTAATAGTTAATGCCTTCATCATTGAATCTAATTTAACCCCTTTCTAGGGAATCCATCTAATTGATTATCTCCAACAGGCAGCTGGGTCGCTGTATCCCACTCAGCTGGGATAAGCCCAGACTGACAAAAATAAAGCAATTCATCTGCTAAACCATCCAAATGGTGGTCAAAGGGGTAAAAACCCTTTACAATCAGTCAATGTGCATAAAAGGAACTCTAAACTATAGCTTACAACAACACCACTATACACAAACAATACTCAGAGCTGTCTATGTAACAACAAAGAAAAGCATAGAATCGTCGCACAGCTTTAGGGAAGTTGCACAGAAAACAAGACATACTATGAACAAACCCAGTTTAAAGAATCTTATGTTTAGTCTATTAAGCCAAAAATCAAGTTAAATGAATGCAAACTTTAGAACACCCACGAATTTTCAAAATTCACAAACAAAAATTAAAGGGGAAAAATTCTCCACAAAAACATCAATTTCACACACCAGCACCACCATTTACAAAATGGGAGTGCTTATTTAGGTCACATACAGCCAAAATAAGGTTTACCCTCCACCTAACCTTATTTAGGCCACATACACAAAAAATGGCCAGAATAAGTTTTACCCCCCCACCGAACCTTATTTAGGCCACATATGCTCAAACTACCTTTATCCCAAAACAGAGTTCGTTCCGCTTTCACTATGGTGAACCTTTCTCATTTAGTACAGTTTTGTTTCAAGTGTATAACTTATATAAATCATAACATAATTTAAAAAAACAACGCAGAAGACAGAATATTTTGCTAAATCCCAATGGTTTGAATGAAGGCCAGATTTGTTCCTTCATAGAGGAGCAAAAGCTAGGCTACCACTTTGGCACACTTTAAAGTCAAGTGAAAAAGTCAAATCTTTCTAACGGACTTTCGGGTCAAATTTGGTGTATAAAAAAGCGTTCACAACGAAGTAGTAGGCAGTTTAGTGAATATGTGTGTGGCAGGGTGAATTGGCCTCGATATGCCCCATACACTTTTGTGATCGCTGTGAAGCCTCATGTTTTGATGGGTCTAAACAACTCACAGTTTTGTGAATCGCACTGCCACATCCGACAGGCCTACAACTTTTTAAAAGGAAAAGAAAGATCTTCAAAATAGCAAGTCTTTGTGTGAAAATCGATTCCGTAGAACTGGAAATATTTGCTTCTGAAAACAAGGCAATTTCTACAACACGATACTGGCTGTAGACGTCTCTATATATAAATTATGAAACTTCAAAAAGTATTATATATTCCAGCATCTTTTGACACCCAAGTTGTATAGGTTGAAGTTTTCACAACATTAATAGGCCTTTCTGTAAAAATGCATAAGAAAGCCGAATCGCCGTATCCACAGGTCAACGACCGGACGACCCTGATCTCCTCTGCTCACTGCCATTATAACGTTGTGCTTCGGCATTGCATTATTCAACTGTTCTATTACTATCAATAGGTGCGATTACAGCATTTGTGATGTACTGACACTGACTGACTAAAGAGTTCCGTTTTGCTTTTATTTTACCAATTATTTGGCTTTTGAATAGTGCAGATGATAGCTAAATCTAGATTCCCTGTCTAAAATCAGTAGTAGTAGGCTAGAAGCAGCCAGAGAGCCTACATCTGCTAGATCTAACTTATTAGGCTATGCCTTTAGGCTTTGGAATTGAAATAAAACTTGAATTGCACAGTTCTAGTTTAATTTTAGATGCAACATCTGACTATATTTTTCAGAGTTAATAATAACAAATCTCATCATAGAAATCACTTTTACTTTTACTTTTATTAGATCCAACTTTTTTCTAAAATCTGGTTTGCACAAACTTAGTACTATAGTAGAGAACAGAGTTTATAAACCTCTGCTCAGTCTTTCCATATATAATAATTCTATGTCATTATTTTCTGAATATTTTAACTTTTGTGTTTACATTATCAAATTGTGCCATTTTCCTTGATACGAGCATTAGCAGAGTGGACTTTTTAGACAGCGAGTCCCTGGCTCAATATCTTTTTTTAATAGGTCTAATCAATGAAAATTGCTAATTGATAATAACTGAAAACAACACAGGTGTTATGAATAGTGAAGAAAAATGTGTTAAAAAATAAGATAATGAGGTAGACTATAATTTGTCCTAAAAATTCCAAGTGCGAGTGAAGATCAGATACGATGATTTTGTTATAAATTCTCTGGTCATCTTTCATGATTTATTAAATGTTCCTGTGGGCCTACTACTATGTCTCCGAAGAACATTTTGCTTGACTTTATAAGCTTTTTTTAATGTACTTGAAAGCATAAGATTAGTTTCATCTAAATGTATGCACAATATTTTGAAAGAAAAGGATAAGGAGCTGACCTATGGTCATTGTTGGTTTTTTAACGTACTCTGTTTTATGTTGAGAAAAGCGATAAAAACAAGTTTTAAATAAGAATGCCCATAAAATCAAGAAATTGCTACCTAGTTGGCTTACTCTTTAATAAGTATGAACAGTTAAGAAAAACAAAAAGAATGATGAAGGATTTGTCTAAAATCTACCATTAGCAGTAAATATATTGCCCATTTTGTCCGGTTACTTGCGGATGAAATCCCCCTGTACCTCTATGGGTACCAAAAATATTTCTGTGACTTTGTAAAGAGATGTGTTGTAGTTGTGTGCATTCTATGTATAATTCCCAACAAACTCCCCCCCCGCACACACATACACACACACACACACACACTACTCCTACCCTTTGTCCACTTTTTATTCAGAATCACTCTTTTATTTTGAAATCATCCCCCCTCACTACATAAAAGATCAGTAGAAGCTCGATCTTGCGAAACGTTAGTTCTAGAAATCTACTTAAAAAACAAACAATCAAACTGAGCACTGTATATTATATGTATATCATCTAATGTAGATATGTTACGACAAGCCTATCAGCATAACCATCCAATTAGAATCTGTCATCTCAAATCCTCAAAATACAAAGACATTCAGTGTGGCCACGTGGCATTGTTTCGCTAGATTCGGTCAAATACATGTATGCTGGGATAATTTACCCAACAAACAAAAACAAATTTATTTTTGTTATATCAAGAAAGGAAAACATTTTTTAAATGACGATAAAAACATAACTGGAATAATGTCGAACTGAGTTTGCCCAATATGTTTTTTCTCCCCCTTTTTTAAAAATCTTGCCTTACATGATGCTGTTACGTTACACCGCGAGGTCCACGTTTAAAGAAAATACACATTATTAATAAATTCAATGCGGGTAATATTTAGACATGTACCAACGACACAGGTCTTTAACTGCAGATCCGTAAATACAGAAAATGACCTTAAATTGATTCTAAATTCATTAACATGTCCTGCTGTGTTGGAAGATGGATGTGAAGAGTTGTTTTTTTTCCCCTACATCTGTGGCCCAAATAAGGCCAGCTGGGGGGATAGCTTATATATAGAGGCAATATGTGGCGTAAATATAAGATTAAGGAGGGGGGTTGAGCTTATTTAGGCCTTATATGTAACCTAAACCAGGTGAGGGAGGGGGGTTTAACTTATAAAAGCCATATGTGGCCTAAATAAGGTCACCCTTACTAAATAATGTCATTTCATTATTATAATTAAACCTGAAATTTTAATGCTGCATTGGCGAAAGTCCTCACAGGCATGTATATAAGGGAGTATTACAAAAAAACTACCATTCACAGTAAGGGCCCTATGCTTCCATCATTCATCATGTCAGCAAAATGAAAAAACCTGACAAACAGTCCACTAGATAAGAGGACCCTCACTGCAAGCTGGCACCAAGACCATGGTTAACACTAAATGTATTTAAATTACAATATTCTGAACAAAATATCTTGATACCTCTCTCATTTTGACAAACAGCATTTGCTTCTGGTCCTCCGACAACTCTGCCAAGAGTTCGGGGTCGATGTACATCTTCTCCAAGATCTGCTGCAACATTGTGAAATTTATATCTTTTGACCAGCCACACTCTGGGGAAACGCTGAACTATACTTCATTCACTGCAATTCTATCTAAAGTCACACTGCTCCAGTATCCTCCACCTTTAATGTTCACGACATGATGCAGAGGTCAACCAAAGTATGACAAGGTCTTTGGGCCTGAAGAAAAGAGAAAAAAAGATGCTTTGAGTGATTCTCACATTTCAGAAAAAAAAATCGGAGCATCAGTATCAATACAACAGAAGACCTGTACACAATCTTACCATCACATTTGTGAGAACTTAAATCAAAGCAATGGCGACACAGCCCGTAGAATAAACAAACACATGCCACATATGAATGTTATCAATTCTTAGCCCTATACTCAGACGCTGGCCACTGAAAATACTTTCCAGCTGTGTGACAGAGAATTCCCCTTTCCAAACATAAAACTAGACAAAATTATGATCAAGAGTACACTAGCTGAAGGACAAAACAGTAAGAGATGACTCACCAATCAATCAGTACCCAATAAAACATACTATGGTACAAAGGCAATCTGAAGTCTCTTCCCAGTTTTGTTTTCTTTCTTTTCCTCTTGACACATTTCCTTTGCCTATTTTAAAATTTAATTTTGTCTCAACGAGCCTTTAGTTCAAAATATCAGCAGTTGGGACATTGGGCCAGCTATAAATAATCACAGAACAGGTATGATTTCACATGACTGATGGAGGAAGATAGAGCAAGTAAATGATAAGAGCATTTGGTGTGAGGGCTGTGGTTGTTTGTTTAAATTTATTTTCCCACTTTTTAAAATGTTTGATGTCTCATCATTCTGATAAAGATTTACTGCCCTTCATATTAGTTCTGAATCACGTAACCATACCCAAAATATTATAGACACGGTCAGCATGTCTTGTGGCACTTTTTGAAAGTCAGAGAGTTCTTTTCTTTGGCAGACAGCTAAGGGAGGGGTGGGGAGGGGAGGGGGGAGAGGGAAGCAGGATCATAGAGTGTTGTACAAGGTGCTTGAATATCTTTTTTTAAAGCAACAATGTTTCTTCTCTTAAAATTGAAAACAACTGAGAAAACTGTTGCTTCACAAACAAACCTCTCGGACTGGTATATTTATGCCACTTGCTACCCAAAGTCATTACATGCATATTATACTCATTAATCTAAAAGGCCAGTAGGCCCTACAGATAAATCATTATATTCACCGCAAAGGACTAGTCGGTAAATAAGAGTTTTGGGTAAAGAAACAAACAAAAACACTTATTTAATTTCTAAAACAATTTAGATCTATAAACTGTTCTTCTGGTATCAGTGGAAAAGACAGAAGGTGGAACAGAAAAACCAGAGAAACAGGATAAAAGGAGAAAATACCCATGAAATGCAGTTGAAAGAGAGATGGGTGGGGGGGGTCTATTTTAACATTCAAAAATTATGACAAGAGAAAAGACTTTCTCTAATAATCAAGGATCATCCTGCAGGGACATAAAATGCAAGCAGCACAATCACAATTAGCACCCAACAGGAGGAAAACTGTCCGTTTCTCCTTTTTCATTATTTGGCAAAGCACCTGATTTCACCATGAAGCCACACATTTGTGATTTCTTGGTCTCTGATCAAAATTGAACATTTTTAGTTCCAGGTTGCTTCCTTTCGCTGTTACAAAATCTTCCTCTTTGTTGATCGTTTCATTTGTAAGTCACCACTGGGACCATAGCACTCCTGTTGATTGCTGCTAAAAGTGGCATTAGTGGCCTAGTGGTTAGGCTACCGGACTCGTAATCATGAAGTTGCGGGGTCGGGGGTCGAGCCGCGGGCCCGACGTTGTGTCCTTGGGAAAGACACTTTACAAAAATTTTCCTCACTTCACCCAGGTGGAAATGGGTACCGGGCCATAGACAGCAAAAAGACCTTCTCAGTGTGTTAGTGTTTTAGCGCCAATAAATGGCTGCTTGCACAGTATGCTTCCCAAGAAGTTGAGTTGGTTTCAGAATGCTCTCAGGTCTGCTGGGGTAATAGTATAGATTGTGAAGCACATAGAGCTTGCTGCTGAGTGGGGATTTGCACTACAAATGCTATAGAATCTATTTAAAAAATCTCCATCAAAACATCTATCTATCTCTTCTATTGGAATTCTTTCTGTTCTGAGGCAACAAACAACGGCGAGTGGTTTTTAACAGGAGACAGTGGACCTAGTGTTCAATTTGAGAATAAAACTTTGACAGCACCCAGAAAATATGAGAGAGGTTGGCTTCTGAACCAAATTTTGTTGTTTGATGGTGTGAAGATGGTATCTAGATGCTGGTTTCTGGAGGTGGCACTAACTTGCGACACCAGGAAAAGGCCAAAATAAAGACACACTTTGGCCTCGATTTTTAATAGTAATTTGTCCAGGTTCGCCAATATATATAGTCACAGTGACTCTTGGAAGGCATTATACGTGAGGCAACGTGGTGAAATCAAGCCCCATCAAAATAATGGAAAGTCAAGAAACTGACATACCTGCACCTTTGGGATTTTTAATCAACACATTTTTGGGGGGGCTCAAGAACACCTTTGATGCCCACTAAAGAACACATTCATGAGTGAATTTCATTGAAAAACATTGATTAAAGGCATAAAAGATGTAAATTTTCAGTTTCCACATTCTCAAGCTAAGGAAATTTATTATATTATAACTCAACTTGGTGGACATTTTCTCTGTAAAATTCTTTTTACCTCTGAAACCAGGCAACCCCCACTTGCTACAATCGCCTCTATCTTGACTTCTCTATAAAAGAAACATTTATATTTTTTTCATCAAAAGCAAGGCAAATGGAAAGGCTGTGAGATGATACCAATATAACTCCATATAGCCCAAAATTGACGAGAGCGCCTGATTCCATGGAGTTGTGACACATTCATAATGAAGCTACTCACCATCACTCAGAAAGTTTCGGTTACACTGAGGCTTAGACCCTGCCACACACAAAGTATCGAGAGCCTGAGGCATGACATGTCACATACAGAGTAGGTCAAGCAGCTTGGCATTAAATTAAATTCTATTTTGTTTCCAATTTGGCCCAGTATTTACTTGAAAGGCCGCGGCTATTCGGACACTAGTCCGAACAGCCTTCCATGGCTATTCGGACTCAAACTCCAATTCGCGCGCAATCACTAGGATAAGCAGACAAGCAATTCAACCTTGGCCTCCCTCGGTTTAGAGAGATTCTATGATCTGGCCAAGGAACTTTTACAACAAATGGACGCCAACCGTGGTGACCCAGCACGACTTTACTACTTTACAAAGAATAATAGTAGGGCCGGGCAGTGGGCAACGGTGAGGGAGGGAATATATATCTATATATGCAAAAAAAAAGGGATGAAGGTGGTGGGGCGGTCCTGGGGAAGTAAGATGGAGAGAGGAAAAGTAAGAGTGTGTGTGTGAGAGAGAGAGAGAGAGAGAGAGAGAGAGAGAGAGAGAGAGAGAGAGAGAGAGAGAGAGAGAGAAAGGGGGGGGGGCTGTCTTATAAAAGGAATGGATGATTAGGAATTTTATGTTTTGATCCCTTTGTAATTTTGCGAGACGCAGTGTAATAGCCTACCTGTAGTTCAAAGTCCGAATTAGCTGAATAACAAGTTCTGGAGACTATATTCGGAATCGAGTCTAGACCTCGCCGGAGACAAAAAAAGTACGGTACAACCGGTGATTGCGTTCGCGCACCGGAATTTGAGTCCGAATAGCTTCCAGCACTGTTCGGACTCAAGTCCGAATAGCCACTTCGTAATTGAAATCCATTGAAAATCGATCATTTTGTCTCGGCAGACGAAGGACCAGGCCAGAGACAGAACGTTTTCAAAAATCTGTGGGGTTCAAGAAGGCTTGCCCCCTGCATTTCTACATAAAATGACATGACATTCATGAGTACTTTTTTAAAGATTGTGTAATGAGTTTTTATCATTTTTATCAAAATTATAAAGGAAAAAACTATTAATAATTCACGTTTAACGTTTGTTGGTCCAATGTTGTTAACTTGAAAGAATCTAGATTTTAGATCTAGAATCTAGAGTCTAGTCTATAAATCGGTGCTTTTTCGGTAGTTCCCACCCCCCTTATTTGAGCCTGACCCACATCTAGATTCTAGATCTATACATTTTATTCGCGGTGAGCTAAGATATCAAACCTAACAACAGCAAAACATTAAATTGTGGTAAAATTCAGGGGGGCATGCCCCCCTGAAACCCCCCTTCCTATTTTTGTTAGGTCAGGGGGGCAAGCCCCCCTGAAACCCCCCTACTCTTGGGGCCAAAACCCGTGTATAACAATTGCGGGGTGGGAACTACCGAAAAAGCGCCGATAAATCTAGATCTAGATCAGATGTAGATCTAGATCTAGATCTAGATTCTATCTCTCAAGGCCACCTCTATTCTCACCCGGAGTGAGAATAGTGCAGGCGAGTCTTGTGGCTATTCTCACCCGGTGCGCGTTCACCAAATTTTGCGTTCACCCTAAACCACAGAATTCTACACTGTGATAACAGAAAAATTGTAGAATTCTGTGCCGTGAACAAACGTTCCATTACAACTGTAGCCTACTAAAAACGTACAATTGTGTCTGTGGGCAGTGGAGAGAGAGAGAGAGAAAGAGAGAGAGGAGTAGCGCGAGGATTTCCGGGCAAAACAAAATGGCGACCCGCGTAGTTCCGCTCGATTCGAAAAGTTAAATAGCCGTAGCATCTTTGTAGACAACCAAATTAATTTACTTTTGTGTTTTAACATCATTTTTTAACTTTGTTTTGGTCAATTTGATCGTCCACACCAATAGACAGTATTCAGAAAGAGACAGAGAGAGAGAGAAGAGGGGAGGAGTTGATCTTTCCGGGCGGGTGAGAATAGCCACTTTCATCTCTCAATCAGTCACAGCCAACTGATCTGATAGTTGATAATCTAGATATCTAGAATAGATCTAGATCTAGAATCTAGATCTAATATATATATATATATATATATTGATCTAGAGTTTGAGTTAGCGATAGGTTCCTGATTCCTATTCCTGGTAAAATTATGGCCACCTCTATTCTCACCCGGGGTGAGAATAGTGCAGGCGGGTCTTGTGGCTATTCTCATCCGGTGCGTGTGTCAACAAATTTTGCGTTCACCCTAAACCACAAAATTCTACACTGTGATATATAAGAGAAAAATTGTAGAATTCTGTGCTGTGAACAAACGTTCCATTACAACTGTACTTGTAGCCTACTAAAAGCGTACAATTTTGTCTGTGGGCAGTGGAGAGAGAGAGAATGAGAGAGAGAAAGAGAGAGAACAAAACAAAATGGCGACCCACGTAGTTCGGCTCGATTCGAAAAGTTAAATAGCCGTAGCATCTTTGTAGACAACCAAATTAATTTACTTTTGTGTTTTAACATCATTTTTTTTAACTTTGTTTTGGTCAATTTGATCGTCCACACCGATAGACAGTATTCAGAAAGAGACAGAGAGAGAGAGAAGAGGGGAGGAGTAGATCTTGTGAGAACTTCCTGGCGGGTGAGAATAGCCACTTTCTAAAATTATAATCAAGAACCAAACAGATTCTAGAGTCTAGATCTAGATCTAGACTCTATGCCGTTATCTTGAATCTGTAAAACTGATCTCCTGCAGCACACGCATCTGATGGGCCTAGATCTAGATAGCTATAGATCTGCATATATAAAAAAAAAAAGATATTATCAACCGTTAACTCCTGAATGAGGAAGTGGCAAGTGGAGAAAAACAAAGCGAGATCGTCAGATGGCGACGCATCATCACTCAGAAGCTTGTTCTGAACCACATTGGGCTCCAAATGGATTTCCTTAGCAAGAGCCCTTCTTTACAGAAAGATGTATTCATAAGAAACGATACCAATGCAATGAATATTTATGTATCCCATGGAATCAGTCCTGTGTACAACAAACACAAATGTAAAACTACAGGCTCAATATTATTACCTCGACAAAGTTCATTGCCATTGAAAAAGATAAAGAGGAAGTAATCAGTGCAGCGTCAAAGGTCATGGGTCAACTTTTTTTACCAAGGCAAATCTGCTTGGCCTAACACTCTTTGTGAGTTACTTCCCATCTCCTGGACTTGGTAACAAAAAGAAAAAGGAGCTTGAAAAACGGTTTTGGTTTTGTTCTTTTCTTTTTTTTTTAGGGGGGGGGTGTTTGTTTGGTTTTGGGTTGTTGGTTTTTTTTGGTGGCAGGGGATGTTTAGTTCTTTTCTGTTTATGTGTTCTCGTGTGTGTGTGGGTTTTTTTTTATTGTTTGGTTGGTTTGTTGGTTTTTGTTGTTGTTATAATATTAAATTATTATTATGTTGTTTGTTTTGTTTTATTTTTTTTTTCTAGATCTATATTCTAGACCTGCTTGTTCATTGTTTGTTTAGGGTTTTTTTATGGTTGGGGGGGGGGGATGG